AAAGAAAAAAAAAATAAGAATAAAAAAGATATGGGTATTATTGAAAAATATAATGTATGAAAAGGAGCAATGTAGAATATGAAAATAGGAATAATAAGATAATAAATAATAAAATAAAACATAGAAATGGTAAAATAATAAATAATAAAATAAAAAAAAATGAAATGATAAAATGATAAATAATAAAATAAAAAATAGAAATAACAAAATAAGAAATAGAAATAAATTTAAAAATGAGGTATAGAACATATAATCTAAGAATAATTAGAATGACATAGTTATGATTGAAATGTATATGATAAGAGAGTTTGATAATAAAAATGATGATGGTTATGATGACCATAATGAATAACTTGAATAATTATGTGCATTATGTTAATAACCTGTTGTTTGAGATGTATGTATAGACCTGTGGATATAGAATTGTTCACAGATTAATCAGATTTTTTCAAAGAATCGAGAGAAAGAGAAGTGTATCATATAAGATCAGTGTCATGTTAATCACACAATTTGCAAATGAAAATCGGGTTCTGTCAGAAATAAGAATAATGCCTTTTTTACATTGATTATATTAAGAATTAAAGGTATAAGAGTGATTGATGATATGTTAGTTATAAGAATCCTGTTATAGAATTCAAGGTTAAGTAAAATGCTGTTGAGGAAGATGTATGTTTGATGTATTCCTTTGGCTAATTTCAAGGCTCTTCTGCGCTGAGGTTCGCTAAAATGGAAATGCTCTGGCGCGAGACCTCACTTCGTCTTGCTCTGACTGGCGATCTGATCTCTCCATTTACTCGGGCAGTCATCTTTTACTCTCCTTTCATCTCTCTCTCTCTTCTCTTCTCTCTTCTCTCTCTCTCTCTCTCTCTCTCTCTCTCTCTCTCTCTCTCTCTCTCTCTCTCTCTCTCTCTCTCTCTCTCTCTCTCTCTCTCTCTCTCTCTCTTTCTACCTCTCTTTCTCTCTCTCTCCGCTTCTCTTCCTAACCCTCCTTGTCTCCCTCCCTTCCTCCCCTCCCTCCTCCATTCCTCTATCCCCCTTCCTTCTCCCTCCTTTTCTCCCCATCCCTCCTCCACCCTCTCTCTCCCTCCTCTTTTCCTCCCTTCTCCCTCCCTCCTATTCTCCCAATTCCACCCTTCCCCTCCCTCCCTCCTCCTCCTCCTCTCTCTCTCTCTCTCTCTCTCTCTCTCTCTCTCTCTCTCTCTCTCTCTCTCTCTCTCTCTCTCTCTCTCTCTCTCTCTCTCTCTCTCTCTCTCTCCTCCATCTTCCTTCCCTTCCTCCCCTCCCTCCCCTCACCCCCTTTTTTCCAGACTATCTATCTCCAAGTTTATCAGAAGTTGCGTCGCCTGCTGTTCGCTGCGACAACACGACACGCATCACCCTGTTCAACAGATCGGAGAACTTCAGCTTCATTGAACAAATCAAGAAGCAGCTGTTCAACGGATCGAGAAATCTGGATAGTAATCTGATTGAGATATCGAGGCGGTCTGGCGGCAAAGGATTTTAAAAGATTATTATCTTTTTCTCTCTTTTTCTTTTTGTTATTAATCTTATCGTGTTGATTGTGATAGCGTTGGTAGCAATTTATTTTTAGTTCAAGTACCATTGATATCAATGAGATTATGATATTATTGATACTGCTATTAGTGTCACTAGTATTTCTGTTATTTCAGGTATAGGACAACTGATGCTAATATTAACAATGATAATAATGATGATAATGATAATAAAACGACAACAGCAATAACAAAAGCAATGACAATGATGATAATGGTAACAACAACAACAAAACAAACAATAATGATAATAAAGAAATATATCACACATTACCATATACGTTATCTTTATCTTCAGCCTCATCACCAGAAGCACCATCACCTGCACCATCACCACCACTATTCTTGTCATCATCATCGTTATCATTATCATCATCGTCATCACCACCATCATCATCATCATCACCACCACCATCGTCATCATCATCGTCATCATCGTCACCACCATCACCACCACCATCATCACCACCATCATCATCATCACCACCATCATCGTCATCAGCATCATCATCGTCATCATAATCCGCCTCATGACCATTCGCAATAGCACTCCTTTGCCCCGTCACCGTGTCCATAAGGTCTATTTCGAGAGCGCAGTTGTTCCGCGAGTGAGCGCTGCCTCCGCCGCTGCCGATGTAAACAGCGCTCTTAAGTGAAACGCGCTTGAAACAGCGGAACAAAAGCCGCGTCTGAGTCCCTTTATCTTTATTGATATATCACTCGTTCGGAGAGAAATAATGTTGTATTATAACATCCATTTAAAAAGCAGACACTTTTGCCATAAAAGCCACCTTTAGACTTCAGAATTTTTGCATAGCCTTTGCCCACATCGGCAAGATTATTTAATGAAATGTAGACATTTTCCAAGTATATGGCACGGGTGAGTGGCCATAAAGGTCAGGAGGCGGTTGAACAGCGGCTAAAACTCGCCCTTATGTTCCAACCGGATCCTGCCAAAGGTGAACGAGTTCTTGTTGCCATACTGAGGTCCTCTAATTGAATGGCAAAAGAAGAAGAAGAAGAGGAAGAAGAAGAGGAGGAGGAAGAGAGGAGACGAAGAAGGAAGGAAAGACAGATTTTAAAAAACGAGGAACTGATTTAGCAGATGATGTTTAGTTTTTTTTTAACGTAAAAGGAGACTTTCTTCGCGACGTGGCTGGCGACTGCAAGAGCAATTGCTGCTTTTAGTATTTCGTTGATTTAAAGGCGAGAGGCTGACGAATTATTTTGGAAATCGCTGAGCAAAGTGTGTGTGATAAATACTTCGTTTCCACAACCCTTTTATCTTGGTATTCCTCTTGCTATTTCTATCTTTTTTTTTATCATTTTTTTGGATATTTTCCTCTATTCTTCCTCTCCCTTCGTGGTCTTTCAAACTAAATAACCACCTCTTACATAACACTCACACACACACACATACACATACACTCAGTCACACGCACACATACAAACACTCAGACACACACACATACATACACACACATACACTCAGACACACACACGCATACACTCAGACACACACACAAACACAAACACACACATACACCCAGACACACACACACACTCAGACACACACACACACTCAGACACACACACGCACACACACACACACGACCACACCACACACACACACTCAGACACACACACGCACACACACACCACATACACACATACCACACACACGCACACACACACACACCAAGACACACACATACACCCAGACACACACATACACACAAGCATACTCGTCTCCCCCAACACTCTCTACAGCACATACACACCACATAACACAAATGCACCTTGGATAAAACCCCTTTGAAAAATCCCAGCGTCCCAATGGATAAATTCAAGGATAAAGCAAACACGAACATCCTCAAGACGAAGCCAGGGTCGGCGTGATTTTCTTAAGACAAAGATTCCTGGATCATAAAACACGCGTTGGGAGACGGCGTTGAATCGAGAACGAGTATGAGTGTCGTTGTTTGTTTTTGTTGTTATTGTTGTTGTTGTTTGTTGAAATGTTGTTTGTTGTTGTTGAATTGTGTTGTTTTTGTTATGAATTTGTGTCTGTGATGTTATTGTTTGTGGTTGTTATGAATTAATGTCTTTGATGTTCTTTTAATAAAAAAAATGATGTTATTGTTTGTTGTTTTTATGAATTAGTTGTTGTTTTTGGTTATATGCATTTATGTTATTGATGTTATTATGGTTGACTTGCTGTTGGTGTTATCATCGTTGTTGTTAATACTGTTGTTGTTAATGCTGTTGTTTATTGTTGTTGTTTTTATTTTTTTATCATGCTCATTTTTTAAACTTGTTGATGTCACTGTTACAGATACTGTTACGACTATTTTTGTAATCATTGCTGCTGTTGTTGTTTCAATCTGTTTGGTGTTGTCACTTTTTCAGCTGCTGCTGCTCGCATTGCTGCTGCATCACTGCCACCACTCTGTCTGGCTCTGGACATGGCTCTTTTGTCCATGATCATGGGCTGGATTATGGTCATTAAAATTTCGTGAATCGAAATACCATTTATGTTATTGTCGTTATTATTATCATCATTATTATCTGTTATTATTATTTATTAATTATCATCGATTATATTATATTATAATCATATTTATTATCATTATATCAACATTAATATATGATAATGTATATATATATATCATTATTATTCGATAATAATTATTATCATTAATAATCAATAATAATAATATAATTATTATCAATATAATAATCATCATAATTATAAGTATATAATAATGAATCATGATGATAATAATAATAATAATAATATATATAATAATAATAACAATGAACAAATATAAAATAAGAGTATTATCAATAATAATGAATTCAATTAATAATAATAATGATTAATAATAATTAATTATAAGTAATAATAATAGATTAATAATAATATTATATGATTAATAATAATGATGATAATTGATAAAATACAATAATTAATAATTATCAATAGTAATAATAATAAGTGAACATATCAATAGTAATTCATATAGTAATAATGTTAATGATAATAATGATAACAACAACTATAGCAATAATAAGAAGAATGACAAGAACAAGAGCACAATCAAGAAAAAGAACACGAAAAATGATGATGAGAGATATGATTGATGATAATAATAATGATAATAATAATGACTATAGGAATAATAATAATAATGATAATGATGATAATTAAATAATAATGTATAAGTGATAATGATGATAATTATAATGATAACGATAGTGATAATGATGATAATGATGATAAAAGTAAACAATGATAGTAGCAAAAATGATAACGATAATAGTGTTACTAATAATGCTACCAATAATAATAACAATATGGAACATATCAATAGTAATGGTAAGAAAAATGTTAGTGATGATGATGATGATTATAATGATAGCAATATAAGTAGCAATAGTAGTTAC